GTTAAAACTGGGCTCAAAGGTTAAAGCTGGGCTCAAATGTTACTCATTACTACTACCCAAGTTGCTCACAGCAGTGATCAGGGCACACACAGCCCCAGGCCCTGGGTGGACACTGTCTGTGGGTTCCTGCAGAGCTGCTCCTGGGCACTGCCTGTGGCCTGGTGTCCCCTCTGGCTCCAGCTGCTTTTCTCAGTCCTCCTTGTGCCAGGGTGTCTTTTGGATACAGATGCAAGGTTTGGGAGGGGGATTTGTTATGAGATCCCAGAATGGTTTGGGTTGGAAGGGACCTTAAAAATCATCTCGTTCCAAGCCCTGCCATGGACAGGGACACCTTCCACTTTACCACGTCACTCAGGGCCCCACCCATTGTTGATTTAAGGCTGTTTCCCCCTTTTCCAGGTGTGTCAGGAGTGAAGGCAGCTCGCTTTGAGGAGGCCCTGACAGTGAAACACTGTGCTCTGTCCCTGGTGGGGGAGCCCATCATGTACCCCCAGATCAACCGCTTCGTGAGACTCCTGCACCAGCACAGCATCTCCACCTTCCTGGTGACCAATGCACAGTTCCCAGAGGAGATCAGGTAAGAGCTGGATGAAATACCTTCCTACTAAAACATTGGAATGCTGACCTGTGTCTTGATTCCACTTTATCCCCCACTGGAGTGAGCTCTGCATGATGGCAATGGAAAACCCACTCGGCATCTCTTTGGTTTGAACCTCAATCTCCCTGTGCTCATTTTCATCTCTTTCTCTCCCCCAGTTTGATTTTCCTTCCTGTACCTCTTAAACAAACTGGGATTGCTTCTGGAAGTGAAGAGCATGGAATGTTGTACCTGCTGGAGGAGGAGAACAGGGAGGGAGCTGTGCTTTGAGCTTGGGGATGTGGATACCTGGTGTGTTTCTGTCAGCCACAGCAGGAGACTGAGCTCATAAATTTTGGGTCTGATCTTTGTTCTCACTCCCTAAGAGCAGCTTTTGGCTCAAACCAGAGCTCTGTCCAGCCCAGCATCTCCAGCAGGACCCTGAGTGCAGGACAAGGACACATGACAAGCACACACTCGTTGGCAAAGTGGGATCAGAGGTTTTTACCTCCCTCTCAGAGGCACTTGAGCTGTGATTCTGTCAATGTAACAAACATATTAATGGACACTCCAAGAGTCTTTACAAATGCAAAGAATCCCTTTTTCTGCTGCTTTGGAGCATCCAGGCTGCTTTTAACAAAGTCTGAAGCAGAGTAGCAAGGAAACACAGCACATGGTGTGAGCTGAGGG